TTCTAGTAGCAAAGGACTATTATTGAGGGAAGAATTCATTGTGGAGAAGGAGATTAACTTCTTCATTACCACCAGTAACAACTGTTGGCCAACTGCTACCAATAAAAAGATTGGTGCTGGAGCCCTGGAAATGGCAGCACTCCCCAGACTACTGGTCCTGCTTCCAGCCCACCTATCATCGAGGGAAGTAACTTCTATGAAGAAAAGGTCAGTCATTCCCTGCAAATACCAAACCAGAACACGCATGACAGTCAGTCAGTCAACTAGTATTTATGAAGGGCCTACTATAAGCCAGGCACTGTGTTAAGTTTTGGGGATACAAAGAAAGGCAAAAGACAATGCTTTCAAGGAGTTCACAATCTAATGGGAGAGACAATATGTCAAAAGCTATATATGGCCTTGCTGAAGTAACAAGATACCTTGAGAGAGAGAGACAGAATATACCAGGCAAGTCAAATTCCTACCAGCACCTTGATCACAATCTCCCCTCAGAGTCTGATGGAGAAAACCCAAGATCCTAAGCCCAAGAGCCTTCATGTGTTGTCTTTCCCATTAGAATATAAACTCCTTGAGGGCAAGGACTATCTTATTTTCCTATTTGTATCTCTACTGTTTGGCACAGTGCTTTGCACATAGTAAGCACTTAATAAATCCTTTATTCATTCAGTCACTCAAAGTTGTTTTCCTTTTCCTTTCTTTTCCAGACCATCTGTATATTTTTTTAAAAAAAGATTAACGCTTTTATTATTCTTTTAATTCCCTTTTTGCATATTTTATGTACATTTTTATGCATTTTATTGCTATTCCTCTACCCCCCCAATTTTTTTTTAAAACGCTCCCTTGTGATAAATAAGCATAGCTAAGCAAAGTAAATTCAAATATTGGACACTTTGAGGCAAAGCAACAAGCACTTATTAAGTACCTATTCAAGTTTTAACTCTTTGTTAGATTTGTCTAAGTCTGAAAGGGTAACACTGAGGTCCCCAACTATTAAAGTTATGTAGTCTATTTATCCATGTATGTTCATTAATATCCCCCTTAATTAATTAGAAGCTAAACTACTTAATGTGTATGTATCTTTATAACTGATATTAATTAATTGTCAATGGTGCTGACTAAGGATTCAAGAGAATTATCTCTGATATTCAGGAAGGGAGTTTTAGAGAGAAGTAGACCTAAAGAACCCAGCAAGTCTTCTCAAGCCTGAGTAACCCATTCAGTAGAGATGCTGTATCCAGCAGGTAGCAGAGTAAGGATATTATGAAAAGAGAAAAGAATAGCAAGTAGGCATTTATAATATGTTAAAAAAATCACTTAAAATTCTTAGAAAGATGTATAACAGCGGTAACTTTCTTTTACAACTTCCTGATTATTCATTTCCATGCTCTTCTAAATTTCTTGTAATATCTCTCTGTAAATCTAGGTCATGTATCAATTTCAAGTAAAGCATAAGATAAGGAGGCAAGTTTGCCCAAGGTGATTGCCATGGTCATACAGGATATCCAGCCCAGAGACTAAATGGAAGAAGCATTCCCTATTGATGGTGAGGTCTTTGTAGATGACATTACGCTGATCAAATCAAGTTTGGGGAAATTATAAACTTCTTAAATGAAATCCAAATTTACAAAAAAAAATTTAATGTAACTGTCTAAAACAAGTGAGTGAAAAATGCCTATTGTCCACGCTATGATATGCAATTAACTGGACAGCCAAAAGAGCTGGTCCATCAGTACACACATCTAAGACAAACATTAAGATGGTCAGTGAATTATGCCCAAAATAAAACTTGAGAGAAGTGGGCTGGATAGCATCTGAGAAACTAAATGGTTCTTTTAATGTTCCTCAAAGATGCTTCTTACTTCTGATTGTCCATGTCTGTTCTGCATGGTTGCTCCCTGATGGATTTAGTGTCCCATACAGAGCACATAGCTCTGATGCAAGATAACAAAAGGTAACAAGGAGAGGATAACATTTTTCCTTTCTTGATACCTTCTAGTAGAAGTACGGGGGGTCCCACTCCACAAAGCTGCTTCCTGCCTCAAGTGTACCTCACTGCCTCTAGGTCTGGCAGCCTCAGCTATTTAAAGACTACCACTTTTTGGCTAGGCAATGGCCAGTGGAAAAACTACCAGGAAGAACTCCTCTACACTTCTTAAAGGGATAATAGGATATAGATATGTGTTTGCACTCAAAAAATAAAACAAAACAAGGAATTATTACCACTTCTCCACCTCTGTTATCTGTCCCTTATGTAATGCGATTATATCAGCTAGGCTAGAAAAGAAACCAAATCTCCATGCTGTGCCCCACCCTTCCATGTGTGTGTTTATGTATGTATGTATACATACATGCATATATAATACATATATTCACATATACACAAAAATAATTAAGATAAACTAGCCCAGTGTCTTCTGGCCTTAAAATTCTAAAAGGTATTAGCTCGGTTTCTGGCAGTAGGTCCAGTGTGACGATTAAGAGGATGCCAAGCTGCCTCTTCCTGTGGAGGAACAGAAGTCTTTAAATCCAAAGAGTTCAAGATCACCGGACCATGCATGGTCTGGGCTGACTGCCAGCCTTAAGAGCACAGCATGCTGGGAATGTCAAAATGTGCCTCCATGCCTGACAATTGCACTCCTTAGAAATCCCCATGAACTGCTGGAATTCAACTCATCCTTAGGCATAGGGATGGACCAAGGTTCCAAATGAGCTTGTAAGTCTCAGTCCTCTTCTGCAATGCGTGTTTATTTAAACCAACTGCCACTAATACTTCCTGGAATGCAGAGCTGCTGAATGAGTCTAATTGCTCTTGGCTCCCTTTTAAGGTGTCTGTGATGCTGCTGGAGACTTCTTATTCTTATCAGCTGGATAATACTTGCCTCTTGATAGCAGATTTATTGTTGTATATCAACACCTTCTACACTTTTGCTTTCTATTGCTCTGAGCCCTAAGGAGATTTATGACTGCTGGTTTATGAAGCCAACATATTTATTCTTCATGGACAAATCACTTTCACCTTAGTGTGCTATAGCTGAAAGAATCCTGCACTTTGTGTCTGAAGACCTGGGTTTGAGTCTCAGCTCTAATGCTAATATGTTGTGTCATCCTGGCCCAGTCTCAGTTTCACAGAATCTCTGAGTCTGCAGGGACCTTACAGACCATGTAGTCCAACCCAAAGTTGAATTATAATACCCTCCTCATGATACCACACGAATGACCATCCAGCCTTTGCCCGGCAGCTTTTAGGAGAAAGGGCAACCATTGCCCCACAAGCTAGCCATTCAACTTTGGGATATCTCTAATTAGTGTTTCCTTATATCAAGCTTAAATTTATCTTTCTGTAATTCTACCCATCGTCAATATTTTGAACCTGAACTATAATCCTCGGTATAACATTTCAGCCTTTGCTTAGGGACTTCTAGAAGGGGAAACCACTACCTCCCAAGAGAGCCAATTTGACTTTGAGATCCTTCTAGGGAAATGTTTCTTTCTTTTTTCTTTCTGTTTTTTTTTTTTGTTGTTGAGGCAATTGGGGTTGTGACGTGTCCAGGGTCACACAGCTAGTAAATGTCAAGTGTCTGAGGTCACATTTGAATTCCAAAGTCAGAGCTCTATCCACTGTGCCCCAGAAATATTTCTTTATATCAAGTTTAAATTCCGTTTTGGCAATTTGCACTCATCAATATTTCTGCTAATTCTAGCTTACCAGTACCTCTTCATTTTTTTTTTTTTTTGGTTTAGAATGGTCCAAGATGGCTAGCTTTTAAAATATATATTTTTAAAATATACCTTTATTGATATACTTTGTTTTTCCATCACCTATATTTTCCCCATATTCCTTTCCCTACATTTCTCAGAGAGAGCTCACTTAAATTTTTTAAAGGAAAAGGGAAAAGAATAAGAAGAAAAAAATTCGGCAAAATTGATCATACATTGAAAAAAAATATGACCACATATGCAGTACCTCTCCTTCCATCTCATATCTTCTCATATGTCTTCTTAGGTGCAACCCTTTTTCTTTATAATTTTGCAACAGTCAGTTTTTATTATTTTGTGGTTGCTGTTCTTTCCATTTACTTTGTTGTAATCATTGTGTATATAATTTTCCTGGTTCTTCTTAACTGAATTGCACCAGATCATAAAAGACTTTCCACATTTCTCTATAACATCATATTCACAATGTCTTACAACAGAACAATACTATGTTTCATCCATGTGCCACGATTTGTCTAGCTGTTCCCCAACCAATGGGTATCTACACTATTTCCAATTCTTTTCCATCAATATTTTGGTATACATGGAGCCTTCTTTTTCTTTGTTTTTTTTTTTCTTTGTTTTGTTTTTCAACCAATGACTTCCTTGGTGTAGGTGTATGTCTAGCAGTGGAATCTGAATCAAAGGACATGAACATTTTAGTCACTTTACTTGCATAACTCCAAATTGTTTTCCAGAATGATTGTACTAATTCACAATTTCAACAATGATGTATTGGTATCCTGGTCTTACCACAACCCCTCCAAGATTGACTATTCCCATTTTTTTTCTCAGGAGGGATAACCTTTAATAAGTTTAAAACAAATGTTAGTGTAATGGCAAGTATATTTCATTCAGTCTAGCTCTGTTTCCTGTCTTGTCCTAATATATAAACAAGTCAGAGGTAGGTAAGGTGAATTTTTTTTTTCCATTTAGAAAAATAACAGATTTTGCTTTTTTTCTCTCCAAAACTCAACTTCTTATACTAATTTAATCTAGAATTCCCTCAATGTCCTAGGGAGGTTAACAAACAAAGTAATGGTGTTCTCCTCTTGATTTAAAATTCTTTTTTAAAATACATGGGATACATTCAGTCCCCAGAGATCCTACCAAATCTTTGAGCCTCACAATCTTTGCTTGTCTTTTAACTTGACTGATAAAGGTAATTTCAGAGGGGGTAGGATAATCTTATTTGCACTACCTACAGAGCTATTGTGAGATAAATATGCTATTAAGAATTTAAAAAAAAAAATAAGGAATGCTTCACAAATTTGCTGGTTATCCTTGTGCAGGGGCCATGCTAAGGTCTGTATCATTTCAATGTTAGTATATGTACTGCCAAAGTGAACACAGAAAAATATTTTAGAGCACAGTAAAAAGGTGACCTCTGATAGAAAGGACAGGGACCAGGAGGCCTCAGTTCTAATGGTGATGTCACTAACTAGCTGTTTGACTGTCCACCTGCAGATCACTTAACCTCTCATTTACTTACCTGGTAAATGAAAGGGTGGTAATTCCTAAGAACCTACCCAGCTCTAGCATGCTATAATTCTACTCACCATTCAGTTTGCTTTGTTTTGAAGCCATAGAGTTTCAGGGTATCTTAGAACATTGTAGGGAGAGGTATGAGAGGTTGGTATGGGGGTGGAGGGGAGGGCATTCATCTTCTCAATGTTTGTGAATCATTTTGTTCAATGGCCCAAACAAATTTGTCTGAGAGGTGTAGGGAGGCTCATTCAAGTGGTTCATGTCTATAAATCAGGTTCAAGAGTCTTCACTGGGACATTAGAGTATTTTGAACCCTATACACCAATGGCACCTGTCTCTGGGGGTCATACTATGCGGCCCTATTTGGACCTGGGCTCAGACAACTTGGGGCTAATTACCTCTAATTCCTTTAACTAATCCTTCTCTGACATGATCTCAAGTCTATCTGCCTTCCTGGTGATCCACTTTGCAATGTTCTCTAGCTTATTGAATGCTTTTGCTAAAATGTGGTCCTCAGAATTAATGCAATAGTCAAGATGTGGCCTCACCAGGGCTGAATAGAGCAGATCTGTCATCACCACACTCCTTCAGGACTCTGGGGAACACAGCCCAAGTTTCCATCAGGTATTTTGGTTGCCGTCTCAGACTATTGATATAGACTGAGACTGAGTCCATAGCACTAAAGCCCCAAGATCATTGCCAGGTGAAGTGCTATCTCTCTAGCCATTTCTCCAACATCTTATATGTAAGTAGATTGTTTTCGAACAAGTGGAGAGCATTATATTTATTCCTACAAAATAGATTTAATCCTTAAAATATCCAAAGTATTTTAACTCTGTATGTGAAAGTCTTTGAAACCATAAAGAATTTAACTTAAGGTGTGCAGAGTACTATCTGTACATTATCTAATTTGACCCTCATAACAACCCTAAGAGTTACCCTCAGCTTATAGATGATAAAACTGAGGCCCAGGAGGAGAAGTGACTTGCCTGCAGTCATAAAGCTAATCACTCTTAAAGACAAGATTTGATCACAGCGTTTTGTTGACTACAGGTTCAAAGGCCTTACCACCATATCACATGGTCTCTCAGTAAGGAGTTAAGAAGGAAGATGAAGATGAGGAAGACAAGGAGAAGAAGCGCTACCACAAAAATATGGAAAACCCCATAATGAACACTCTAATTCCTGCAGCAACCTGCCTTGGCAAGTGAAAGCTCACACTCCAAATTCCTTTCTATAGCCAATCATGTTCATAGGATTTAAAATTGTAAGGGACCTCAGGGGACATCTAGTACAACTCCCTCATTTTACAGTTGAAGCCTAAAAGTAACTTGGCCAAGGTCACACAAGACAGTGGGAAGGTAGATGGCACAGTGGATAGAGCACTGGGCCTGGTGTCAGGAAGATTCATCTTCATGAGTTAAATCTGGCTTCAGACACTTACTAGCTGTGTAACCTTGGGCAAATTACTCAACTCCATTTGCCTCAGTTTCCTCATCTGTAAAATGAGCTGGAGAAGGAAAGCACTCCAGTATCTTTGCCAAGAAAACCCCAAATGAGGTTATGAAAAGTTGAATATGACTAAAATGACCGAACAGAAAAAACACAAGTTAATAAGAGAATGTAAATGCAGGTCCACTGATTCTAAATACAATGAGGAAACTGAGGTTTAGAGAGATGCAGTGGCTTGGTGACGGTCACATTCTACTCTTTCCACCAGACCTCACTGTCTCTCAATACAAAGCACATAGGATGCTAGTTCATAGAACATAGATTGTTAGAGCTTGAAGGATTCTTTAACAACCCTCTCATTTTACAAATCATCTCATCCAAACCTCTCATTTCACACATGTGGAAACTGAAGCTCCAAGAAGTTAAATGACTTGCACAAGGTCACACAGTTTGTAAATAGTGATCGCAGCAAGTTTGTGATGGACTTTTTTAAAATTATATTTTAAAAATTCTATTCTTTTTAATTTTTACTTCTTAATTCTCTCCCTTTCACCTCTGACCCTGTCCCACCCATTGAGAAAGTAAGAAAAACAAACACTAGTACAAATATGTAGAACCAAGCAAAATAATGGAAGATGTCCCAAAGTACGATGGACTACCTCCAAGGTAGTGGATTCTGATCATAGGTGGTCTCCAAGCAAAGGCTAGGTTGTAGCCATTGTAAGGTGTTGGTGACAGATCAGAAATTCCTATGATGTTTGGGCCCTACCTTCCTGCTTTTTTCCTTGTCTGAGATAGGATAAGATGATACAACCCCTCTCTTGTTGAATTATTAGAGCATGACTTGTAAGTGATGGTTCCACCCTTCCAATTTACCTCACTCCCTGAAACTCAGAGGTCTGCACAACACCAAGGGGGACCAGTAATATACTCCTGGCATTGTTCTTGAGTTTGGAAGAGCAGTGCCCTGAACCTTGTCTAGGCTTTCGCTTGGTGCCCTCGACATGCTCAGGGTCTTGGGAATCAATTAGCATGTTCCCAGTAATGGAACTAAGAGGGATATATCAAAGTAAGACTTATTTAATAGGATTTAGAACTATAAGAGACTTTAGAGCTCATCTAGTCTAATACTCTTATTTTATAGATGAAGTTATCTGAGTTCTGGTTAAATTGGTATTATAACACTCAGACTTCAAATTTCATCCCATAGTGTTCTGGGCCAGGCCTAATTCAGGCCAGTCCAGTAACTCAGGCTTGGGAATGGAACACAATAAGCCTTTTGTGGATCATAAACTATCTATCAAAGAAAAGTTTTTGTTGTTGTTCAGTCCTTTTTCAGTCGTGTCCAACTCTTCATGACCCCATTTGGGGTTTTCTTGGCACAGATACTGAAGTGGTTTGCCATTTCCTTCTCCATCTCATTTTATACACGAGAAACTGAGGCACAGAGGGTTAAGTAAGTGTCTGAGGCTAGATTTGAACTAAGGAAGATGAGTCTTCCTGATTCCAAGCCCAGCGCTCTATCTATTGTACCACCTAGCTGCCCTCAAAGGAAGAAACCATAAAAAGAATCTATAAGGATAAAGTACTGATCCATGTAGATCCCTGCTTCTTCTACACCTATCTTGGTAGCAATATTCAATCATAAGGGTACATGTTTACCCACACAGCAGTGAGAATTTTCTCAAGTCTGAGGAGTCCTGACTCCTAATATATTGAGCCCTTTCTCCCTCAGAGGGCCAGTAAGGCACATTGATGGTTCAAGCCCCAGTCTCCCAGAATAGCCAAGTACCAAAACTTAATTCCTAGCCCCTCTAAAGATAATCCAGTCCAGCCTCCACAAGACAGATGCTGTTCCTACCACAACTAACAATGCTAGAATAGGCATTGTGTGGGCTCAGATGTTTTACAGGATTGAGGGTGATTAACTGTTTTTTATGTTACGGACCTTCCTGGCAATCTTGTGAAGTCTATGGACCCCTTCTCAGAATAATGTTTCTAAATGCATAAAATAAAATACATGGGATTATAGACAACCAATTATATTGAAATAGTTATAAACACATTTTTTTAAAAGGTTAACAAATGTAAGGACAGATGATGTCCAAAGCCCCTTCAAAATCTTTGATTCTAGGATTCTGTATATGTCTGTCCACATATGTAAAAAAAGATGGTCTTCGAAAGCCCAGGGTTTATATAAAGAAAAAGAGCCAAAAGGGATGTTAAACCAAATGTAAACATGCATTGTTTTATGAGATCTGAACAAGTCCTTTCATTGAGTTTAGAAGAAGCAACTTTGCCTGAGCTAAAAAGTGGCTATACTTTAGGGGGGCTTTAAATAGATAAGTTAGGGAGAAAGCCAGCAGTCTAAGAGTTGAAGAGTTCAGCAATTTGGATGAGCCAAAGAGAGAAAGCTAGCAATTACTTAAGAATTCAACTCTACTTCTTGGAGGAGAAAAGGAGATTTTTCTTCCCTCTTTTTCCCCCATCAGCCATGACATCTAGCAGCAGAGCTACTCTCCCAGAAGGAAGCATCCCATCTGGCAGTTGTAGAGTCAGTTGAACAGAATTTGAGGAAGACCAGAAGCAGCTAGGTCAGTTTAAAAGAGTTTGAGGCATAGCTGAGGGAGCAGAAACACATACTCCAGACATAGATACAGAGAGATAGTTACTTGGGTCCCAAAGTAGCTCCAAGAAACATGAGTCCTAGCAGCAGAGAAGAGAGTTGGCTATGTACTCGAGAGAGTTAGCCCTGATAAGTGAAAGTTGAGCTACAGAGAGGATCTCATTGGAGAGAAAGGATCTTGGTGAGGCTCTGTAATACTAGAGGAGTAGCCTGAGTCAGCCTCACTAACACTGTCCATTTGAACCTACTCTTCCCATGGACTCTCTATGTATTTGTTGAGAGTACACCCTAGGTTTAGTCATTGTTTTTATTACATTGTCTTAGTAAATGATTTTGCTTTTGAACTAATGTGTCTATTGGATGATTATTAATGGGAAACACACTGGTAGGAGCACATGAGTTTTTGTAGTGGATATCTTTCGGAACTTGAACTTGAGGTAGCAATTACTCTCTAGGCACCCAGCTTACAAGTGTGAGTTCAAGTCAGGGGAAAATACAAAGAGAGCTCCTGAGATACACACATACAGATATTCACAAACTAACATTTATATAGTACATTAAAGCTTGCAAAGTACTTTCCGTATATTCATTTGATCCTCACAACAATCACAGAATCTGAGATGAATGTGATCTCAGCTGCCATATAGTCCAGCCCAGTAAGGGTGGAAAAAATGAGAGAAAAAGGAACCGAAGGGAAGGGTCAAAGATCAGAGAGAACAGGACAGGAGGGAAGAAGAGAGGAGAAGACCTCTAGGACTGACTAAAACTCTACACAGGATTTGTAC